CCCCAGTTCTCTCAATATTCTTGCATTCTTAGAGATCCATTTTTCTCTCTGTGCCTCAGCTTCTTTGTATTCCTCCTCTCTAGTTTCTATTTCATTTATCATCTCCTCCACCATATCTAATCTGCTTTTAATACCCTCCATTGTGCTTTTCAATGATTGGATCTCTGACTGGAATTCATTCCTGAGTTCTTGAATATTTTTCTGTACCTCCATGAGCATGTTAATGATTTTTATTTTGAAATCCCTTTCAGGAAGATTCATGAGGTTGATGTCATTTAAATCTTTCTCAGGAGTTGTATTCATAATTTTACTTTAAACCAGGTTCCTTTGGCATTTTATAGTTGCATATGGCACCCTCTAGTGCCTAGCAGCTCTACTCTCTGGAGCTGCTCAGCCCCTGAAGCAATGTCTGGGGTCACAGGGGAGCAGTATTGGTACCTAAGGGGAGGAAAAAGCTGTTTCCTGCTTCCTGGCTGCTATGCCTGTCTGCACTGCCTGAGCCACTGCGCCGAGCACACAGGTATAAGCCTCTATGCTTTGCATTTGTTGTTGCTGTAGACAGGTCTTTCCTCTGGCTGGCCTAATGCCAGGGTAGGGTTTGCCAGTTTGCAAGCCAGGTGGGGCTGGCCGGGAGAAACATGCAGTAGGCTGTGTATCGTGGAGGGGGTCCTTAGAGCTATGTAGTCAGCCAGGAGCTGTAGCGCCTGAAGATTGTGAAAGATCCCAACTTGCTGGGCAGAGTGCACCTGGACAATTTTGTCTACCTGTCCTTTCTCCTGAGCAGTAAGCTCTGTGCAATCCTTGCACCTGTAGCAGTCCTCTTTCTGTTAGGACGTCTCTCAGACTTACTGCCTTTCTTTTGTCCCAGAGCAGCCATATATAGATCCCTGCTTTCCACAAGTGGCTGGAATCTCAGTCTCTCCAGGAATTCTGCCTGTCTTAGCTTTCCAACTCCCTAGTCACAAGAGTACCATGCAAGCACCATGAAATGTAGGTTTGCCTGAGCAGATCTCCAGAGTTAGGTATTCAGCAGTCCCAGGCCTCCATTCCCTCCCTGCTCTGTTTCTCTTCCTCCTGCCGGTGAGCTGAGGTGGGGGAAGGGCTTGGGTCTCCCAGGGCCATGGCTTTGGTACATTACTCTGTTCTGTGAGGTTTATTCTTTTCTCCAGGTGTATGCAGTTTGGGGTAGTACTCTTTCCTGTTGCTCTTTCAGGATTAGTTGTATTAATTTTATTTTCATATTATATGTGGTTTTAGGAGGCAGCCTCTGTCTCACCTCTCATGATGCCGTCTTTAATCCTCTGACCTCCTTTCACTCCCCCTACCCTTTTTATGACTCTAGCCCAATGAAGAAGGAGTAGGCAAAAACTCTAAACTACCACTTACTCCCTACAAGTGATTAAACTACGTATTTGCCCATCTTCTGCCTGAAGAACCAGCTTCCAATGAACCTGCACTCAGGTGCTGGCTGAGATCCTCCCCTTTGGGACACTGATGGATCTTGGCACACCCTCAAGTGCTGAGAACCACTAAGAACAAAAAACATGACTTGGATAATCACAAAGGTTTCAGAAACAACCAGGAAAACAAGCTGGGCTAATAGATTAGATTGATATCCTCATGAGACATGGACAGCCAGATGCAAAAGGGAAAACCTAACCCCTATCTCATACTATATACAAAAATCAATTCAAAATGTATTGAAGACTTAAATTTAAGACCCGAAGCCCTAATACTTCTAGAAGAAAACACAGGGAGTAAACTCCACGACATTAGTCTGGATAATGATTTTCTAGATTTGATACTAAGAGCAAAGGCAAAAAGAGCAAAATAAATAAGTAGGACTACATCAAAGTAAAAAGCTTCTGTATCAAAATGGAAAAGATCAACAAAAGGAAAAAACAACCTACTGAATGAGAGAAAATATTTGCAAACCATATACCTGATAAGTACCCAAAAATGTATGAGTATGAGGAATTCATACAACTCAATAGCAGAAAAACATATATATATATATATGATTAAAATGGGCAGAGGATCTGAATGGATATTTTTTCCCAAGAAGACATACAAAGGCCAACAGGTACATGAAAATATGCTTGACATCATTAATAATTAGGTAAATGCAAATCAAAACCACAGTGAGATATCACCACACACCTATTATAGTATCTAACCTGAAAAAGAAAAGAAATAATAAGTACTGGTGAGGATGTGGAGAAAAGGGCATCTTTGTGCACTGTTGGTGGAAATGTAAATTGGTACAACCACTAAGGAAAATATGGAGTTTCCTCAAAAAATTAAAAAGATAACCGCAATAACAATATTATCCAGCAATCCCACTTCTGAATACATAGCCAAAGGAAATGAAACATGATATTGAAAATCTGTACTCCTGTGTTTACTACAGCATTATTCACAACCAAGATATTATATATAGTATATATATATATGTAATTTATAATATTATGATGTTGCATATAATATTATGCTTGGATAATTGGAATAATATGATACAATGATGTGTTATACATAGACACAGATATGTATAGAGTAATATTACTCAGTCATAAGAAAGAAGAAAACCCTGTTATATGTAACAACACAGATGGACCTTGAAGGCATTATGCTAAGTGAAACAAGACAGACATACAAATGAAAATATTTCAACAAGTGCTTAATTTAGTGGGCATAGAGTTTTAGTGTTGTAAGATGAAAACATTCTAGAGATCTGTTGTATAACAATGTAAATATAGTTAACACTATTGAACGTATACACTTAGAAATGGTTAACATGGAGAACAATGATTTTACCAGGATTTTAAAAACTAAGCCTAGTAAGTTTTAGACTTGCAGAATGTGAATAAATTCACCACCAGATAATTCACATTCTAATAAACATTAAGGAGAATACTTCAGGTAGAAAAAAGTGATACCAGATGGATCTACTACAAAATAAGAGGACTAGACATGACATATGTGGATAAACATAAATTCTCTTATTTTTAAAAATTCTTTCAATGACAACTACTGAAATAAAAAAATGACTATGTATTGTGTGGTTTATAACATACACATAAATAAATGTATGATAACAATAATACAAAGACTGAGAAGAAATGAAAGTATACTGTTGTAATATTCTTACATTATATGTAAAGTGGTATAGTATTACTTGAAAGAAGATTGTGTTAAGTTAAAGAAGTTATTGTGGGTTGAACTGTGAAAACATATTCCAAAATGTATTTTCAAATTCTAATCTCTAGTACCTATAAGTATGCTTTTATGAAGAAATAGGGTCTTTGCAAATGTAATCAAGTTAAGATGAGGTATATGGATTAGAGTAAACCCTTAACAAATGACTGGTGTCCTGTAAGACAAGAGAAATTTAGGTACACAGACACACCCAGAAGGAAAATGGCCATATGAAGCCACAAAGACATGGGTAAACACCATATGAAGATAGAAACAGACTGGAGCAGTGTGTCTAGAGCCAAGAAACACCAAGGATTGCCAGCCACCACCAGAAGCTAGCAGAGAAGCATGGAACAGATTGTTCTTCAGCACTACCAATAGGAACAAACCCTGCCATTATTGATTTCAGACTTCTAGCCTCCAAAACATTGAGTGATTAAATTTGTTTTAAGCCACTCCATTTGTGGTCTTTCTTACAGTGGCCTAAGGAAACTTAATACAGATGTAGAGTACATGCTAACACAACATTTCAATTTTTTAAAAGAATTATAGCTAATAGGCCAACACAGTAATAAAGTGGAATAAAAAATATTCAACTAGTCCAAAAAATAATAATAAATCAGAAGAAAAAGGGGAATGTAGAACAGATGGGACAAATAGAAAACAAATAGCAAGATGATAGATTTAAACCCTAGAATATAAAAATCATATTAAATATAAATGGCCTAAACACTTCACTGGAAGTCAGAAATTGTCAGTTTAGATAAAAACCAAAATCCAGTCATCTACTGTCTACAAGAAGCCTGCATTAAATATAAAAACACAAACAGGTTAAAAGCAAAAGGATGAGAAAAGCTATATTATGGTAACATTAATCAAAAGCAAGTTGTTAGAGTGGCTATATTAATATTAAAGTAAATTGCAAAGTAAAAAATATTACAAAGGATTAAGAAAGCTATTTCTTAATCATTCAGGGATCAATTCATCCTAAATGTTTATACATATAATAATGGAGCTTCAAAATATATGAAGCAAGAAGAGCTGTCAGAACTTTCCAAAAGGGGAGAAATTCCCATAATAGGTAAAGATTTCAATAATCTCTTAATAATTGAAAACACAACTTTATAGAAAGTCAGAAAGACTAAAGAAGTCTCAAACAATGCTATCAACCAACTTTTGCTAATTGACGTTTTAGAACACTTGGCACAAGAGCAGCATGTACATTCTTCATGAGGATGAGAACTGAGACAGAGGTCTTCAGAGGCCTGGTTCAAGACTTCGGTTCTCAATTGTCCTGACTGCTGGAGCCACTCGGCACACTCGGGAAGCAGTTTTTCTTTCGCCACATCCACCCACTTATAAACAGTCCTCGACAGTGCCAGGAATTCCAGGGTACCAGGAATCCTCAGAAAGAAGTCCTGCTTGCTCTTGAGATACTCAGGTTATGGGGGTGCAATCAGCCAGATCGCATCATGGCACAGGGAGCTAGAGATCCCAGGGTGAACAGGAAACGATGGAGCAAAGATACCTCAGCTCCTTTTCGACTTTTTAACTGAACACCCACCGTGTGCCAAGGGCTGTGCAGTTTTCTATATGCCCTGGGGTGGGCTGTAGTAGTCAGGAAGTCAAATAATCCGCCCAAGGTAGGTTTTCGGGGAAAGGACATGTTTAGGGTCACTCAACTTTCACCTCGAGAATTCACGATTTCCAGGATCACCCCTGGGAGGCGGCGGTCGGTTGTAAGGCGTGGGCCCCGCGCTCCCGAGCCCGTCCGCTCGGCGCGCAGCACCGCCCACGGCGGGAAGCCGCTCCGAGGAGTCGGCCGCGCCCCCGACTGCTGCGTCACGTGTCAGCCGAAAATGGCTGTGCCCGGGCAAGTCGAGCGGAGGCTGCAGTGACCCCAGCGTGGCTCGGAAAGAACGGAGGCGGCCCCGGCCGCTGTGAAGAGCTCGTAAGGTACCGGCGCTCCGGGAAGGGATGCGGTAAACGCCCGGGTATCGGGAGAAGCACAGCGCGGGGACAGACTGCGCACCGACGGCGCGAGGAGGAGATCCCGGGACTGGGTCGGGGCGAGAGGGGGAGACGGCACTGACCGCCTCTTCACTTTCCACCCCAGAAGACCATATAGTTAAATTAAGCCCGTAGGAAAAGTTAATGTCTGCGTTCGAATTTAATACCGGGTTTACTGCCAATTTGCAGGGTCACTTTGGCCTAACAATTTTCAGAGGCCCCACTTTACGCATGGCCTGTCTGGGAGCCATCCTGAGTGACAGCAGGTAGCTAATGCAGAAGCCTTTTGAAATGCTTGTAGAATTTAAAAGTGGCATTGTCTTTGATAGAAGTTTAGTACTAATAACGAGAACACAATAGCCTACTGCGGCCTGCCGGGTCATAACTTCTACCGAATTAAGGGTGACGTTCGATTGCTACACCTTAGAAATGGCTCCTCACAGACCTCGGAACCTCACCGATACGCAGAGCATAGAACAGAAAACTAATGAGAGCATTAGGCCAGATTTTCTGAGGAAATAATTTATTTCAGACACACACACTGTACGCTTTATACTTAATTTGTAACATCTCTCTCCACACACTTCCAAAACAATTCAAAGCTCCTGTAGAGCAGAGATTGTGTCTATGTTATTGTAATGAATGCCCACAAAAAATTTGAATCCAGAAAACCTAGACTTAAATTTCAAAGCCAGCTCTGTACTTAGTGATTTTAAGTCTACAAATATCAAATTTCAGTGCAGTCACCATTTCCCAAGTGATCTTTTATCTAACAGATACCCAGTAAATGTTTGTTACTGTTGTAAATTAATCTTGTACCGAAATGTCTGATAATGAACCAAGACAATCTAGTATCATAAAACCATGTTGTCCTTTGCTGTTATTTCTGAAATTTTGCTTAACTCTGCTACCCTGAAATCTTGTTTAATGAGCTAAGTCTTCAGGCTAAATTCATCATTCACCATCTCCCTACTCTGACATTCATCCCAATTAGTGCAGCAGTCAATAAACTACTCTATGGACTAGATGGAGCCTAACACTTTTTTCTGAATGGCCAGCCAGCTAAAAGGGGTTTTATATTTTTTAAAGTTATTTAAAAAAAGAAAAAATATATTCGAGAAAGACCATATATGACCCGCAAAGCCTAAAATACTATCTGGCCCTTGAGAGAAGTTTGCTGACTTATGCTAGAGAGTATACCTTTAAGTGAAATTGCTGTTATATCGGTGTCTTTCCCACAGTGGTACACCCAAATTGGGTAGTTTATGCTTGCACCCGCAGCAGGTGAGTTTCGGTAACCCCACCCCCACCCCCATCTTGCCAGTATGATTGAAATTGTCAGGTTTTTATTGTAGCTAACCTAGGTACATATTTGTATCTCTTAAAACTGGTTTTAATTTCTATTTCCCTGATGATAGTGAGGGTAAGCATGTTTCTCTGTTTACTGGCTGTTTATTGTGAAGTGCCTGTTCAAACTTTTGGTCAATTTTTCTACTGGGTTGCTTGCCCTTGTCTTGTTTATTTGTTCTTCTTTGTATATTCTGGGTACTAACTCCTTTGTCAGTTATACTGCAAACATTTCTCTCTGCTGATGAACACAAGTTATTTGAATTAATGTTAGTTTTTTATGTCTTATATTTAGTGCTATTGCAAATTAATATTTTTAAGGGTTATAAAGGTATTCCATATTTCCTAGTCTGTTTCGCTTCTTGTGCTTTTGTTTCTAATTCACTTAGAATTTCTTTTAATATGTACATATGCATTGATTTTTTCAAATTATAAATTCAAGCCATAGCTAATTCTTTTAAAATTAAATATTTATGGTCATCAGGATTTTTATAAGCCCTTTTGTTGTTTTTCTAAAGATATACATTATTCAAAAATGATACTTAAATTTTTTAAGGCTCAAGATGGAAAATCATGAACCAGATGCTGTCAAAGAAAACTTAATTTTCAATATCATAGCCAGAAAAATTAACCAACTTCCAGAAGCAGACAGGTAAGATTTAAAAGTTAAAAATATCTTAATTTAAAAATGTCTTGAACCATGTGTAGTTTTTATCATTGGTTCATTATCTCAAATTTATTTGGTTTGAAATAACATAAAATGTCAGAAGAAAACTGAGTTATTTTTCTTGCCTTGATGAGAAACCCAAGACTTAGAAAGATAAGCCATTTTGCTTTAAGTCAAGGATAGGAACTTATTTCTTTGGACATTTCTAATACAGTTCCCAGTTTTTGCATTTAGCTTATAATCAAATGGAAATATTTAGACTCATTTAAATAGCAAACGTTAAAATAGCTTTTAAATTGTCTTCTTTCACTATGCTCACCAGTCTAAAAGAGTGCCATGTAACATACATAGCTAGACAAAGGAATGTCAGAGAAATGGGCTCATGACTAAAAGATCCTTAAGATACTATTAAATAGAAAAAGGTTAAGTAGGAACCATACTGAACTTTGAAGACAATACTGAGTGAACTACAGTGCACTTCCACAAAATGTTCTTAGACCTTGGCAAGAAGGCCTATAGGTTCCATTTAAACTGTAAATCTAAGACTAAAAAGGAGCCAGCCTGTGGAAGAGGGAGGGACAGTATCTCACGCAGAGGAGATGGCATGTGCCTAGGCCACAGGATGACAGTTTGTCATGTTTAATTAATGTTACTGAAATACAGCGGAAGTAGGCATAAAGTTGAAGGAACAGAGTTTTAAGTAAGGAATGATATGATACAGTTAACATTTCTAAAGAACATTCCATTGCTTTTTGGCAAACAGATGTAAAGTAGGAGAGAAAAATAAGACCACCAATAGAAATACTGGCATAGTAATCCTAGTGAGTAGACAGTAGGGTGGTTGCCTGAAATGAAAAATGGACTTCAAATACTTTTTGGAAGTGTTATCTCACTGTATGTCAACAAGGGAAAACCTATAAACCAAGGGCAGTAATAAGAACTTGGTGAGACTTCATAAACTGTATATCCTACTCCCCTTTGCCCTAACCACCCACATACTGTACATCCTTTGTTGTTTTCCTGGGATTACAAAAAAACTTTTCAAGCAAAAAAGAGCCTGTGTCCACATTCCCAGTCCAGCAAGGTGGGGAGAGCCAGAAAGACTGACACAAAGAATAACGCAGATAGTAGTAGCTTTAAAAAAATAAGCAGGCTCTGGCGTTGGGACTTTCACCAAATTAGAAAGAAGCAATGGCAAAGTAAGCTAGAACTGCAGAGCAAGCTTTAGGTTGGAAGTAATAAGCACCTCAACAGGGCAGATGACAGCATTTCCTCATCTTTGCTTTGTTCATTTTTCCTGTTCCTATTTTATCTATCCTGGTTCTCCTAATGCATCCCTTCTTGTATTATGTTAGATCCATTTAATAGTTATTTTTTAAATTCTTAGGTATATGAAATTTTAGTATCAAAAACTTCACTTTCTGATGTACAAAATAATTTCTTGTACCATGTATTTCATTGCCACTTGTTACAATTGATCTCATATTTCATGTTTCATTCATGTCTAGTTATTTTGTGTTTATGTCATGCCAAAAAGTCATGAGTTCTTAGTGTATAGGTACTTTTTTGGAACACTGACTAGCAAAGGGGCTGCTAGATAATAAGTTTCTACTTACTGAATCATTAACTAAAAAATTGATTACAAGCCATAGAAATTTAAAATCTGGGTGGGAGACAGCAAACTTTGCTATTCAGATTCTAGTTGCATTCCTTGTTTTATTTACGTATTGTTAATATTTAACAATATATCAACATGTAATTATAATGGATAATTACATAATTTTAATTTATGTTAATATAAGATATATGTGGGCAACTTACCTGAGATTGATTCCTATGACTAAAATGAACTTGATGTATATTTCATAGGTTTAAGATAAAATAAGTATTTTAAAGGAAGTGCCTAAGTTTCCCATTCCCTTAACACTTACAGAAGTATCTTTCATTCATGTGTTTTCTGCTATTGTTTAGTAGATTCTCTAGGCTCTTATCACTCTTTACATTATGATCTTACATGCAGTAAGTTTCTAAACTGCCTCTTGTTCTGCTATAACCATATTAATAGACTTGTTACATCTCATGTTTACATGTCTTTAATCCTGCAATAAACTATGAAAACATAAGTTAGAAGATTTTTTGTACCTTCAGCACCAAGTCTGCTGCATGTGGCAGGTATTTAATGATTGAATGAAACCACTATTATAATTGCAAAGTGACAGGTAAGAAACGTAGTATCTTATACAACATAGGAAGCCTAATTACAAATTCCTAAAAAAGCTGTTTTAGTGCCAACCCTAGAAGAAAGGGTATTGCATGGCTAGTTTGACTAAAGAGTCTTGAGACACCTGTGTTGAGTTGGCAAGGCAGGTAGGTGGTAAAAAAGTTAAGTGGTAGACTGAAGTCTGGAGTATTTTCATTATCCAGCATTAATTTAGGTATTTTCTTCCAAAACTAAAGAATTCATCGAACATACATTTTAAACTCACCTTGGCTTAACCAGTTCAACCACTATCTCAAAATATCAACTACTTCTTCTGTGTTTCAGTGGGTTGTTGTGCAGTATCTAGCATAGTCTCCCTTAAATGTCAGTACTCCTCCAACACCCCTGTCCCGCCTCAGATGCTTCAGGGAAGAGTGAAAGGAAGCGTGACCGCCACCTACTGAACGCCCTCTCCGTGTCAGATGCTACTGAAACCAAGATGAATATATCTTTGTGCCCATTGTCTTCGAAGTTGTTTACAGACTAGTAGAGAAGCCCGATATATAAATCGGTAATTATAGATAGGACCACCTTAAAATGTGTTGTGCTAGGCAAGTAAGTACTGTATATTATGGGAGCCCAGTGGGGAGGTATCCAAATCAGACTCTTCAGAAGCTCTTCCCTGCTATATAGTTGGGGGAAATTTCTATACCAATATCCTTTGCAAAGTCACAAAATACATTAAGCAAAATCTAAATGTATCACTGTATCCTTCAGTGTTGATCAAATTCAAAGCGTTTTAGAATAAAAATCTATGTGTAAAACAATGTCATATGGAGCTATAAGGGATAAATGTATCTTGTTATTCCTAAAATTCTGGTAAGTTCTGTAACATACGCCTGAATTGTTGGGAGAGCTCACACACAGAACAGAAAAAAGTTAATATTTTTCTCACCCATTCAGAAATCTACTTGAACACGGATCAACATATATTGGACTTAATGCTGCTCTCTGTGGCCTAATAGCAAATAGTCTTTTTCGACGAACCTTGAATGTGACACAGGCTCGTATAGCTGCTGGCTTACCAATGGCAGTGATCCCATTTTTGACAGCGCATGTGTCATACAAAGGTTTTGTGAGTTTACCTTTGAGTACAGGTAAATTCCTATCACTATCACCACAGTTTGTTTTGGTATATATTAATTTGCACCTTACATTAATCCTTAAATATTAGTATCAAGTAGCTATTATATGTTGTAATGTAGTCAGTGCTTGGGTAAGATTTGAAACTTGCTAGCCTCTCTATGTAAAGTGGCAATTAATTCATAGTGGCATGGTCTGCCAAACAAGTAAAAAGCAGTTTTAAATACTTTAACTGTCCCACAGTGCATAGAGTAAGAAATATTTGGCAACTTGTAAAAGAAAAAAATGTGGCCTGCCTTAGTTTATAAAAATATTTTAGAGACGTTCCCTAAAGAGAGAAAGAAATGTATGGGAATAAGATGCTTTATGTTGTAAATCTCTTAAAACAGTAAATATACAAGAATTATCAAGTATATAAAGACATGATTACCTTTTGGCAGTTTACTCTATGTGCTGATCATAGCTAATCATGAAAAATTTTTTGATTAATAACTTCAAATATAAGTATTATTACTACAGGTGGTGGTGGGGAGGGAGGTAGTCCATTTAAATTCTCTTCCAACTGCTGCCCCAAATTTGTTTAAATTGGTTATTTTGCTTGAATCCCCACAATCAGTGTGGAAAGAATTTTTATGATCCAGGGCAACCTACTGTCCAATGAACTGACCAGAGTGAAAAACCTAAGTTACTTAGTTTTCTGTATTTCGTGTACCTTATGCTAATTTGGAAATGAATAAAGAATTTTACAAAAATAGTCAAACTATATAATGCAAAAATATAACAAGTACAGAATGTTAAAAAAGAAAATCCCATTGATGAAATTTCTTAAAGACAAAAATACTAGTTCAGGTTTACTAATACAGGTGCAGAAAGTGAGAAAAGCACAGCGAATTTGAGATTATTCAAGATCAGAAAAACTAGAGGTTTTTCCTAAGATGGTTTTCAGTTATTCCTATTTTAGGTTCAATTACACCTTTTAATATGCTTTGTAAATTTGCATTTGTTGTATTACTGCCTGAAAATTTGAGTATTTGTATACATTAAGGGAACTGTGCATTTGTTGAATCTAGAAGTTTACTTGACTGTCATGTATTTCTACAAATTTATTTCCTAGGTGATTTGAATTGTGAAACCTGTACCATAACACGGGGTGGATTGGTTGGTCTTGTTTTTGGTGGTCTGTACCCCATTTTCTTGGCTTTACCTGTGAATGGTGGCCTAGCAGCCAGGTAGGATTTTCTCATAATCAGAAAAATTTTAATATATAAATGATTACCTAGAAAATGCACAACTTAAAACAGCAGGTATTTTCTCATTACCTTTTTGATGTGAAGGAGTTAATAAGACTTGTTTTTCCTTACACAATCAAATATAACTCTCAAGAATTTGATTCTAGCAATTTATCACACTGTACCTTTTGGGTGTGTAGTTAGGTCCTTAATTTGTCTATTGTATGCCATCTACAAAGCCAAGTAGTACTATGCCTAGCATGAAAGCTACATTATATGCTCAATGTTCTTAAGAGTTTGAGTACTTCCACTAAAGGAAAATTCTTCAGAAAATGTCTAGCTCTGAGCCAAAGTAATTGTTACTCTCTGGTGGCCTCACATTAAGCAGTCTATGCTGTATGATCCTCCAGAGGTGAAGTGGAAAAAGGGATAAAGAAAACAAAAGGACAGTTTTTGAGACTAACAGACATTGAAGAGAACAGTATTACTTTATCTAAAGTAGTTTTCTCTTAAGACTTCTGAAGTTAATATATATGGTACATAGGTTTGCCACTTCATAGAGCTATGTTTTCTAGTGAACTGTCTCCATGTTTTCTTACAGGTATAACTCAGCCCTGCTACCAGAGAAAGGAAACATCTTAACTTACTGGATCAGAATTTCTAAGCCTATCTTTAGAAGGATGGTATTTCCTGTTTTGCTTCAGACTGTGTTTGCAGCATACCTTGGGTCTAGACAATATAAAGTACTTATAAAAGCCCTTCAGTTACCTGAACCTGGACTAGAAATTCAGTGATTAAGCAAATGTATACACAAAAATAAAACCGTAAAACTACCTATGTCTAATGTATGAATAAACATACAGACCTGTAATTGATCACAAGGTAAAATTTTGAGACCTACAACAAAAGACTATACATGGCAATGAGAGGATAATGCTAGTAAAGGCTACCAAATCAAGAGTCTTGACTTCTCTAGTTTGCACAGGATGGTCTCTTCCACCTCACTGGCTCTACTCCTTTACATCAGGCAGTTGCCTGTAACAGGAAAAACTAACCATGAAGCAGTTTTCACTGAAGAACTCGTTAAGTCCAAAAAGGAATGAGAATGGCTGGAGGCAGGGGGAAGGGAATATCAGTACATCACAGCAAATGTTACTTCCACTTCATTTTTCCAATTCAGTGTTTCCATAGATATTAACCCATAGAATCTTAAAACATATAGCCTTCATCACTGAGAGATTAATTTCAGTATTCTTAACAGATGGTTGTTCAAGCTCAACTCAAGAGCTTCTAATGATACAGCTATCTCCTTCAAAAGCCACCTTATTTACTAAAGCTATATTGCTAGAAGATTGAGCCGAATACTGTTGAAGCTTCCAACTACTATGGAATGGTTCTTTGGATCACATAGACTCAAGCCTCTTTTTTAGGTTAAAGTGATCTGTTGTGTGCCTTTCCTAAAACTTCATCTGTTCTTTAAGCCATTTTATATGGCAGCATTTAAATCGGCATTGTCCAAAAGAACTTTCTATGATGATGAAAATGTACATCTGACAGTATGTTTGCACTAGCCATATACGGCTGTTGAGTACCTGAAATGTGACTAGTGCAACTGAACAAAATTTTTGGTTTTAATTAAAATTTTTTAGCTACAAGTGGCTCATGGCTACAGTACTGGACCATGCAGATCTAGACCAAATAAGGTACTTTCTTATAAAACAAGCCATTCGTACCAAACAAAATGCTGGCACCAAAGATCACATAAAAAGCACTTAAACTATTCCTTTCGAATACAGTGACCTATCTATTAAGCAATCTTACGCTACTTAAAACTCTATGAAAGGAAAAATTTAGCCTGTCATCTAGAAAAGGTAGCTTCCGAAGCAAAATCAGCTTTCAGTGCCTCTTCAAAGGATGCTGCATCCAAAGATTTAAGATTCAAATGAAATTAACAAAATACATTTTCAATTCTTCAGAAAGCAAAGATTGTTCTTTCAACAGGGAACTAAAATGTATTCCCTACCAAACTTCTATAAGAAATCCAAATTATAAGGCAAAAGAATCTATATTTTACTGTGGATATTCTGCTTATAGAATTAGGGGCAGTTTTTCATCTTGATTTCTTCCTGGGTTTTCCCAGTTTTCTAAAATGAATATGCTTCACTTTTACAACTAGGAAAAAGTATAAGTCTAATAAAAGAAAAAATATTTTGCCTGTTTATTTTATAAATTAAAATATCAAAATATCAAGATAAAAGTTCTGACCAAAATAATACATTTTATCTATGTTCTGTCACTTAGAGCAGAGTTCTATTTATCAGTGAAAAAACAATGAATTACAAAGTATTTACTGACCTCAAAAATATAAAATTCGAATAAATAAATTAGACTCCTTAAAAATAAGGAATCAGATAAGCAACTTGAACAATTCAAAACCCACTGATATAATTCAACTAGTAACTTAGTACAAGCTATTTCCTTAAACATTCTCACAATATTTATGCCCTAGCATAATACCATCTATAAATGGATATAAGAGTTTGCAACAGTTTATGTGGCCAAAGAGGATTTCTTTCTAACATCTGTCCTATACCAGGTAGTTCTTAAATGATCTTCAATTAGTAGAAACAGGCAACATTAAGCAAAAGAGCATGTGTTACTTTTAATCTGTTGCTACAAATCTACTTTACAAAAATTTTTGGTCAGGGAGCAGATTAAGTGACGTGAACTTGCCAGTTTACATATGGTCAGCAAGATAATTTACGGAAACACTCATTTGTAGCTAAGACCTAAAGAACACTGCCTCAGTCAGGAAAACACTTTAATAGTTCAGTCACAGTAAACAAACTACTTAAATCTGTCTTGTACAGTTTACTTTGTATGGTTATTTGGCTTTAAAAGAGAGGGGCTCACATTGTTATACATAAATTAAGATACTGATATAATTGGTAAACCCCAAACTAAATTAAAACCAGAGGGGTCTAGGACCTCAGTGGATACATAGGAAAGAATATGGAGGCACATTCTAAAGGAAGTCCAGCCACCAATAAAATTCAGATCTGTGCATCAGTAGAATTATGCAAATGTCCAAAACATCATTCGTAACTAAAATTTTAAATTAACTACTGAATTGAATAAAATATTTTCAACAAAACATAACTTTGGGTCAAAATTAAACCAAACATTAGTCCATTTAATACTAGTTTCCTTCAAAAAAGTGGGGAAGATGGCTCTAAGTAAGAAATCTTGAATGTACAAATAGATGAAAGGTAAAAAGGTAGGATTAAAAACACTATATTAATAACCAAAGCAAGGGAAAAGTCAAGAGTTAGCAAGCAATTTCCTATTAACCTATTGCTTTAAGAAAAATCAATTTTCTCTAATACTGTATGATTTATTCTTCTAATGATAATCTGCTTTCTGAATAAAATCTAAGTTACCTCCAGCTTAACTTTTCTGCACTTCAAAACTGAACGTAAATGACTGTAGTCCAGGTCAGAGCTCAACAGTTTTGTCTAGTATTATAAGATAATAGAGAGTGACTGCCAGAAAAGACTAAAGTATGCAAGCTCAAATATGGAAAAAATACTGTGCTGACCTCTCCAGGTTTCTAATGGAAGACCTCCCCTTTTTAATCTTTAGCTTAGATGGAAATTTCCTGGGGTTTCTGAAGAAAAAACAGCACAGAAAGAAAATGTAAGAATATAAACATCTGGGAGCACCTTAAAACTCTGTACTCATACAGAGTCTGGGAAAAAACTAAACACCTGAAAATATTTTACTAACTATTCAACTTTCACAAATCATCAGATTATTTATCTTAAAAATATGACTAAATTAGACCTTTAATTATACCTTCAAAGTGCTGAACTAGGTAATCACATTATTTTAAAAGAACTAGGTAATCACATTATTTTAAAAGATAATTACTCATTATCAGTGAATTGTCCACTCTGTTCTATCAAAATAGCAGTTATGGTCACCAAATTGTGTTGATGCCTAATCTCTGGTTGTGGATTTACAACCAGCTATACTTTTCATACTGTAGGAGCATCCATCAGTCACTTAAGTATAAGCCACTGGAAATGCTCTTTGCTGCCTGGCTTCACAGGCATTGAATACACTTGGAATACAAGAAACAGAGAGGATTAATAAGTGTTGTGTAATACCATACAATAACCAACTATTTATGATAACCATTCTGGAAAGAAAAGACCTTATCTCCTATCCCCTCCCACTTCTATCACCTTCACACTTCCCAAATGAGTCAGTAAGAGGTGACTCAGTCTAGACCAGATGAAAGAATGTATTAACATATCAAACAAAAACAAAACAATCCAGAGTTTTGAGTGTTTTTTCACACTTGTAGTAAACTGGAGAAATGTTTCAATTAAGTAAAACAACCATATTCCACAAAAGCCACTCCCATCATCCAGAATACTAAAGCCCTTATATAACCCTAGAGAAAATTTTAATATAAAACAATACACTAGCAGAGTGTTCATTAGAAACCTCAACATATTCCAAAAAGCATCAAGGTACTCAGCTCAGGCAGCTCAAAAACTTCAGAATCCACATACTAGTATTACCCTGAATTGCAATTAACTACCCACACATATATTCATAATCAACTTTTTTTAAAGATACACAGACAAATCAACACATCTATTTAAAAAGACTACTCTATAGTTAAGGTCTTCATATATTAACTTTTATTTTCTACGCAGGAAGGTGTGTTTATACCTCAGATAAGCTCTCATGCTCCAGGAAATAAATACAGACTCATGATACGCCTTGTGATCACTGATGGTCTGTTTATGTAATTCTATTCCACTAAATGTAATTCCATGAACTGTGTTCTTGATTATGTAAAGAATCTAATATTTCTTGATCAAGCACTAGAATTCTCTTCTCCAGTGGTTACAATTTTTTAAAGACTGGCAAAGAACTGAGTATCACTCCCATGAAAGACAAAAAAAAAGTGTAATTTTGTTCCAAAATTACTTAGTCTCATGTATTCCTATTAAGTCTTTCAAGGATTCCAGAGAATCTTTTCATATCTCCATTTCTGGAAAGTGAAATCAGTATAGAAGTAATTTGGGAACTTGAAAATGGCATTCATTTTTTGCAGCAGATGCCAAAATTTTTGACCGACATGGCTCCCACAATTACTTTGTTACCATCAGTCCAGTCAGTAAACAGGTTGTAGGAAAAGATTCGTTTTTGCAGACACTGCTAAGCTGTTTAAAGAGAAGAGAGAGAGATTAATTTAGTGATTATAAAATGCACAAAAACTTAAAATATTTTGAACACTTTTTGTTGGTTTATATCAGAGGTGTGATGACATTTTAACATATGTGGACTTTTTAGTTAGGTCTGGTCAAAGAACTGCAGAAACAGTAGTCAATATGATAGAAACAGGTCAATATGATGTGTTAGTTCAAGTAATGTATGAATTCCTATCACTATCAGAAGACAAATATTAAAAAGCTACATCTTGACTCTAGTTCTGTATCATTTTGCCATATAGGCACAATTAGGAAAAAAAAGACCCCCGACTGTTAAATTGTTTTTCATCCATTACAGTACAGAGTCAAACATGAAAACTTTCAAGACAATCCATATTACATTCCAGAAATCTCCTTTTTCCAACTACTAATCATTCAGAAGTTTTCTAAAAATAGTAAGACAACAGTTTCATATTAAGAATAACTTTTTTAATTAACAAGTAGTGAATAGACACTTTAAGATACTGTTTACTACATACTGAAATAAACAGATCTCTTGTAAATTCAGAAACCCGAACATTTACAGTAATGTGCTTACACATAAATATGACCAAATTTACTTAAAGCCCATTAGGTAGGTCCTACATACATGCAAAACCATGTAAAAACAAGGCCATGAAGTTGATGTAAAAAAACGACAAAATCACCAAGTCACCAAAATTAGAGAAAAGAGAATGAAATGGAAACTAAGACAGTTAAAACACAAGGAACCTAACAAAGCAGCTTTAAAAATAGGCGATACTAATCTCCATTTTCAAAAGTTCTTAATCAAGTATTTCCAAAAACTGCCATTTATAAAATGACATTCTAAAAATCTACACTTGGAATTTCAAAGCATCCCAATTCAGAAAGCTGTGACTTAAGTTTCTCCCCAGCCCCGAACTTCAAATAATTCAGGAAAAGCACTGATGTTATATGAAGAAAATATTCCAAGGGAATGATATAATTTTTAGAAAAACACTTACTGCTTCCAGAACCTTTTAAGACCCACAGTCAGCACTAACAACAATCATTTTTCCTATTTTCATCCATTATTTTCCAATGTCATGTTAGAGATGAATAAATTCTTTGAGCCCATAACTGAAAGATCAACAAACCTGGTTTTATTATGACACCGTATTTTTGTCATTGATACTGCACAAAATTATATACAAAGAAATATACACAAAATGTTCAAGTATTAATTAAATTTCAATTCAAGGCTTCTGTTTCAAATAGCTACATTTAACATATTCCATAAAGATAGCACAAATTAGTCATTTCAAATAATTTTTCCAACTACTTTTGGTTTATATGTGTGTGTGTGTGTGTGTGTATATATATATATATATAATTCAGTAGGCACTAAAAATCCATGCACTGCATTGTGAGGAAGAGGGTTGTGTGTGGGGCTTGCTCCTGCACTTAGGTATAAGCAGGTTCATCACTCCAGGTTCTGAGTTTGCTGCTACCCATTCATGCTCAAGTGCAGTAGATGATTTTACAAAAATATGCTGTAATGCACTGGAAACCAGAGAACCAGTTAGGTCTCAACTCGTATTATCTAGCAACAAAACATTTACAGTTGTGCAAGAACAAGGATTCCATTTTCACAACCAATGACAACAAAATAAAACATTTTATGTGTAAGTTAACTTACATCTTTGGACTGCTGGAAGATACTTTTTAATCATGAACATTTTAAAATAAAAGACATCAGAAGCCCTGATATTACCTCTTTTTCCTCATTTCTTATACTACCTTTTAAAATAAAGCAGGAAATGTGGCCAGCAGCTGGTCCCGTCTCTTCTGCCCCAACAGCTGTATCCACTTTAGCACAAAGAAAAACAAGGATGCTAAATACGTATATACTTTATCAAACAGTGATGTTTCACAAAGAATTTCTTAATGTTTCTTACACTAAAGGACACCATAACTCAGTCTACACCATTGAACAGAGTACTTCAAAAGAAGAATATGTCCTATCTTTAGGAAATGTCAATCATGTCATTAGCCAGAACCACTCAGTTCTTAAAAATTGTTTTTTAATAGGACAAATATCTTTGAAATATGGAGAATAAAGATTCTTTGTGAAGCCTCACTTTACATGTTTTCATTCACATTTCACAACCTTCAATATCTAATCATACATAAATTTAACCTAAAATTTTAATACAACAAAAATAAAGGTGTTTTAACAATTTATTCATACTCAGTGATAGGATAATCACTGTGCTGGTCCTCAAAGAAAACACTTCGTTAACCATTCTTAGTCCTCCTTCAATTAACTAACACAGGAGTCTGATACACATGTTAATTTCCAACTTTTCTAATGGTGAGATATTATAATGTTAATTGGAATGGATTGTATTTCTAGATCTTCTACTCGAAACTAAAAGGCATTCTTGAATATTTAAGAGATTTCTGTCATCTTCAGGAAAATAGCTATCACATTTGTGCAAGCCCCAAATTCTTACTGTCAACCTCTGAAAAGTTGCTCTAAGATAGGAATTCCAATTTGCACCTTGTACAACTCGGAACTTCCATTCAACTTCACCTGTTTCACTGTCTCCAAACTGTATCTCTATTAGCAGCTTTCAGTGTACAGTTGGAACCGATGTCATCCAAGGCCATGTCCACACTGGGGACAGAAGAGCTAGGTACACGCAAGTCTGAACAAGGGGACACATTAACAGCTATTTCAACCATAAGAAGCATCTTAAACACATTACTGACCAGCACAAGTCTGTTTCCAGGGTGGACAGGGCCCAAATTAGATTCCCCTCCCGCCTTCCGGAAAAAAAAAAAAAAAAAAACCATCACACACACACAAATTGAGATGTTGCCCATTAAAGTAGACTAAGCAGCAGAGCATGAGCGTTACGTGAAGAGATGGATCCTTACCAGGTTGTGAGGCGGGAACGACTGTTCTGTAACCCCTACAACGGAGCCTGGCAGGAAGGAAATCACCTAAAAAAGAAACTGTCAGAGAGATTTAATAGTCACATGTTATCATTAGGAGTTGGTTACAGTGTCACATTCATGCTTTTTAGCTAAACACTTTAAGATTCAATATTACTTTTTTTCCTCCTCTGAAATGTGTCCAGTGAAGATGTCCCACTAAGGTGTTTTACATGGTGTAAGGGAGTTGAAAGGGGTAAACGCGGATAAAGAGCAGATTACTTGACCCTACATTTTAAGAGAAGACGACGCCTTCCGGGCGCACGCCGAGCAGAACTCCACCGACACCTTATCCTTGTCCACATGCAGACACACTCCTCCCGCGGAGTCGTCCTCTTCCAGCGGGTCCTGACGCTGCTTCCCCACGGGCAGAGCGTAGTCATGGTCGCCGGCGGGCGCGTCTCTGAAGAGCGAGGTGGTCAGCCGCAGTCCCACGCCGCTCAGCCGGCTCAGCAGGCGAGCCAGTCCGGTCTCGTTGGCTAGGACGGCCCGTAGGTAGCGACTCTCCTCCTGCAGTGCTTGGACGCGCTTGCCCAGCTCCCGGTTCTCGGCCCGCAGCTCCTGGTTCTCGGCTGCCAGACCCCGGACCCGGCTCTCCAGCCCCATCACGTACTCCTTCTTCTTCAGCCGATTCAGACGGGCAGCCGCCGCCGCCGCCTTACGGGGACTCTTTGTCGCCGCCTGGTTGTCGCTGCTGCCGCCGCCGACGCCTCCTGGGGACTTTCTCCGCCTCTTTTCGCCGCTGCCACTGTCACTGCCGCCGCTGCAGCCTCCGATGCCGTTTAAAAGCCTCTGCAGGAGGTCCGAAAAGCGCTGCATCTCGGCAGCCGCGGACTCATCATCGTCGTCCCCTCTCCACAGGCCGCCGCTATCCGAGCCACCGCCGGACGAGGACAGAGGTCCGGGTGAGCTAAGCCCAGGCTCCAGGTGCCAGTCCGGCTGCCGGGGGTCCAGCAGATCCGCCAGTTCCAGCCCGGACAGAAAGTCCATGTCCTCCGTCTCCTCCCCGGGGACGCTGGCGATCGCCTCCTCCTCCATCTCCTCGGGCGAGGGCGCGCGCACGGCCACGCCGCCGCGGCCCTCCCTCCCGGCGTCCAACTCGCCCTCGTCGCCCCGCGGCTGCTGGCGGCGGGGAGATGCGGCGGCCGCCGCCCGGGTCAGATCCGGGGACAGCGAACAGGTCGCGGCCGGCGCCGGGCTCTCGCTGCGGGCTGGGGAGTCGCTGCCCGAGGCCGCCAGCAGTTTGGTCAGGCTGTGCCTCATGGGGCTCGGCGGCGGGCCCACGTAGGCCCCGGCCCCTCAGACCGGGCCTCGCGGGCCCCGAGGACCCCAGGCCCCAGCGCGGGTAGCCGGGCTGCTGGCCAGAACGAAATGCACCGGAAGGTCCGAGTGGCCTCCCGCCCCCTTTGGCTGGTCGACCCCCGGCGCCGCGGCGGCGCGGGGAGAGATACACGACACAAGCGGCGAGGCCCGGCGATGACTCGACCGCACCGCCCAGACAACGGCCTGGCCGGAAGTCAGTCGATGTTGCTCCAGCCCCTCCCACGCCGTTTCGCGCTCCCCCGGGCCCTGGTATCGCGAGAGTTCAGTGAGGCCTGGAGTGGGAATAATTCCAGATCTCCAGTGATGTCACAGTAACGGCGGCAAAAATAACAACAAACCACGGGTTCCTGAAAAAATAGTCTATCCTCTCTGCCCTCACTTCGAAACCCCCGGTATTCTAGCTGACACGGGGAAACCAAAGTCGCTCAGGATTGATCCTTTAGATACCAAATTTGTGAATAGCCTTAAAGCTATACTGGATTTCTCTGGCATTTAAGACTGGTGCTCAGATCCCCCCTGAAATGGCTCCTTTCCGTTCCAATAAAAAATCCTTTCACTCACACACAAAGTACTAGAAGAAAAAGAGTTAAATAAGTAAATCACACGTAATTTAATTTTCCTGCTTCTGTCATAAAAATTTCCAAATACACAGAATATGTGACATAGTATAGTATCCACTCTAATTCAACAATACTACCCAACACGCAGACTCAACAATTCAACAATTAACATTTTGCCTTATATGCTTTATTTGTACATGTTTGCAAACAATTTTTTTTCAGAACCAACGTAATTCAGTATGTATCTCTAAAAATAATACTCTCTTTCATAAATCATAATACTAACGTCAGGTCTTGAGAAGATTACAATAATTTTCTAATGTTATCTATTACCCACGCCATATCCAAATTTCTCAGCTTTCCTCAAAATAATGTTTTATAGTGGATATCTTCTTTTAGTGGGGTCCAATCAAGGGTTACTTACTGCACTTGGTTACGTTTTGTGGAGAGCAAGTAGTCCTCTTTCTTTTATACACATGCCAAGAGGCAGTGTCTCAAATGTCTGTCTGGTTCTCCTGATCTTGCCAGAGAGAAGTCTAGCCTCAGAAGTCACCTACAGCTACTTTGGTAATGGTCACACAAGTCAGACTCTACTCACTGTGGAAGGGTATACTTCACAAGGATGTGAATATTAGGAGACAAGAATCAATAGGTATTATCTTGCAGGCTGACTACCATATCCTGTAAAACTAGTGAATAAACATGGGGATGCTTTTGCAGCAATGTCACCAAGAATGTGCTTGGCAGCAACGAAAGCCAAAACGGGGGAAAGGGCCACTGCCTTACTTACATATTCCACATGTAACTCATAGGAGTCTGGCAAATACAGTTTGCTTTTGTGGTTCTTTGATTTTAGCTCCTCCATTTCTGCAATACAGGAAAGGATATTAAAAGAGGGATTGAAAAATAGATAAGTACCAGTCTACCAAATCCTCCACAAAGATCATAACTATATGACACATCAGCATCAATACATATATTTACCAGATTTTCTAGAGCAGAGAAGTGGAGCAGGGATGGTAGGAAATAGAACTGAATCAGCATTAATGGTTTGCTGAGTGGAAACAGCAGGGGGATAAGAATGCTGCAGAAGCCAGAGCACTCATTTTAATGTGGTTTGCCTATTTACTCATGAAGTAAAAATCTGTAAAGAGTAAGAAGTAAAACCATGAGGGGATCTTACGACTGGATGAAAAATTGAAGCCTCAAAGAAAGCCTGACAGAGTTACGTACTGCAGGATTATGTTTATACACATTACATATTTGCATGGTTTCTGTGCAATTTGCAGCTGCTGGTTATATTTCCATTCTGTTTTCCTCCTCCCAAGTGAACATTTCTGAATGCAAGTAAATCTGAATTATACAATTGTGAACTAATCTGGAATCTGATTTATTGTATTTTTAAATAACCAACACTTGGAACCTAGCAAAATAGCAACCAATTACTAGTATGCCTCTCAACTAATGAAGCCCCACCACAGCTGCTGCCCCTACAGTTAAGAATTGCTGCTTTGGTTGGGGAACGGACAGCAAGTGTAGAAGTATGTGCTTTAAAGGTTTGGAAAGGCAGAGGCAGTTTTTCATGTTTTTACAGGAAGGACTCTTCTTCTATAGAAGTTTTCTCATCTCTCACCCCAGCACCTCAGAGCCAGAACCTGGCTGAGCTGCTCTTCTCATTGCTAATTCCAAATCATTTCTCTTCCTTCCTGCTTCAGAAAACTCAGCCCTTTTTTAATTTTAAGTTTTTAAGTACTGAAATGTGCACTCATACACTGAAGTAAAGTGTAGACAGAATCCCTATAAACTCCTCATCCACATTTAAGAATTACCTAGGTTTTCCCCAATTGCTTCATCCCCCTGCCTTTTCTTGCTGAAGTATTTTAAAGTACAGTCCTAGGCATTGTCACTTTATCACTACACATGTCAGTATACATTTTTAACTGTAAGGTCATTTTTTTCCTATAACTACATGATGACAGCAAGTAAAATTATTATGCATTTCTTTGTGTTATTTAAACCCAGTCAATATTCAATTGTCTCAAAAATTTCTATCCACAGCTGGCCTGATTGAATTGGGATCCAAACCAATCTATACATTGCATTTGGTTGGTACATCTCTTAAATCTCTTTTAATCTAGGACATCCTTAGACGCCTTTTCCCCATGCCATTTGATTTTCTGAAGAAACCAGGTCAGTTGTTCTGCAGAATGTCCATATTCAAAATTTGTCTGTTTGCTTTCTTGTGGTGCCATTATACTTTTCCCATTAGCCCAGTATTTCCTATAAGCAAGAAGTTAGTTCTCAGAGTTTAGTTGGCTTAAGGTTCAACATTTTTGCCCACAACACTTTCCTAGGCTTTGCATGTTGCGTAACATTAGAGGGCACACATCATGTCTAGCTTTCCTGTTTTTAGCAATGCTAAGATCCATCTGTGTTTTTAAGTGGTGACAGTCTAGTTCTTCCTTTGTAAAATTCTCCATTAACCTTTCTTCTAATGATTCCATCTAATGGTGATCAGTGCCTGAATGAATGATTTCATTACATGTTACAAAATGATTTTTTAATTCTCTCATTCCTTCACTTTATCTGAAATTCTGCAAAAGCAACTTCTTCTCGTCATGCATGGGCCATTTTGTTACCCTGAAATACAAGGAATAAGAAAAGTAGGATCAATGCTCAATTAATTTCTCTTAATAGCCTCTTTGCAGCATGAGTTAGTGACAAATCAGTTGTGTTCTTTTCATATTGTTATTGTTCTGCCTTCTCTTGTTTTTGTTGCATCAGAATGAACTCACAGATTTTTAAATATTCAGGGTGTTTCAACTCAATTGCAGGTATTATTTTGAGATTTAAATTACTCATCTTTGGCCATTGGGAGCCCCCCAATGGCAGTTTTTCTCTAAAAAATACATATTTGGCTCACATGTCTTTTTGACAGAACTCTGTTAGTCTTTGACAGTTTATTTGCTTTCTGATGCGATTGGCTGTATCCAGTTCATCATGGACATTTCCTACCCAGATCTGGAATCAGTCATTCCTCCAAATAGCCCTTCTTCATTTTAAAGGAGTATAGTTTTTGGGTGCCACAAATGGGCCCTAAGGATGCTCATTGCTACTGGATTGCCATTGCTTTTAGGCCAGTCAGTTGGCAGACCTAGGAAATATGTATTTTTTAAAGAAAAACTGTCATGGATTTAGAATGGTATTTTCAATTCAAAGTGAACAGTAAATGATTTTTACTTTTTTAATATCTTAATGTGAGCACTGAAAATCTTGTCCTTAGTAACATCAACATAATCATATTTTGCTTTAGCCTCTCCCTCTCTCATATGTATGTGTGTGTTTATAGTTTTGTTTATAAATGTAATACAACAGTTTTAAAATAAAGCCAATATTAGAACTAACCATAAAACTAATAAGTTAAATTTATGACAATTTCTTTGTGATTCTGTTTCTCCTTAGGATATATTCTATTAAGAATATTCATTTAACATGCTGTTTTCTAGAATCATTAGATAATCCTTTTCTCTGTATGGTTACACCAATGTGAAATTCATGCCTTGTCCTGGTCATATCTCTCACTCATTTTAGCTCTCTGGTTTCCTCTTCATCAGACCTAATTTAAGGTCACCAGTAAGTGACTAGATTTGAACCCAAGCAGTCTGATGCCAATGTACCCCTTCACTCACTGCACTAATACCTTAGCTAGTTTACTGATCATAGATCTGAGCTTCCAAAGGACCTAGTAAAAGGATTCCACTGGGAAGGGAGGTGGGGGAGGACTGAGCCAGATTATGAAGGCTCAGACTTCTGACAGGGACAGAGGTAAATATGGAGCATAATGGGATTAGTCTGGCCACAGAGTCCCTTATCAGAGTCTATGATGACTGCATATTCTGCCACCCTGTATGGTGTGGCTATCAGGAAAGGCAGTTTTCTTACCAGGAACGGAGGTGCTGTACAGGCTTCTGAGCTACTATCCTCTCATGTTTGCCTCATCTCTTCTCTTGGACAATTCTTACACATTCTGTAGTCTTAAGCTGAAATGCCGCTTCTAGGAAAAGCTTTCTGCTTTTCACGTATGTCAGGGATCCCTGCTATGCTCGCCTGTGTCATCTTATCCTTCAGCATTTTGCTCACTCACTAAGATCCAGATTCAGTGAGGACAAAGCCTCTGTCATGCTCATGTTGTGTCCCAGCACTTAGTATAGTGCCTTGCCATTAATAGGTTCTCTATAAATGTTTGTTAAATTAATGAGATACATTAAATAAATGAGTTAATTGAAATTGAAAGAATGGCTTGGCCTCCCCCTGTCTCTACTATCTTTTGTTTGTCTACTAAGGCAAAACAAAAAACCAACACCCAAATTCTAAAAACTTGAATCTTTGAGAAAATAGGTTTTCTAAAATCTAAAATTCAGGTCTCACACAGACAGGGGAAAACCCATGATAAAAGTGAATACACTCAAATCATTAAATTTAGGAGAGAAATAGTAATCATTAGGAGGCACTCCCTGTGGTAGAAAAAGAAATTGTCAATAGCCATATGTTGTTGAACATTTGTGAAGGTGACATCTTCCAGCTGAATGGCCTGACCCAGATCTGTCAGGCCAGATTTGGCTCTAAATAAAATATATCTTGTCTACTCAGTTCTTGGAGAAAGATCTGTAGGCTTTCTGAGTCATCCACACAGACATAAGGCTTACTAAGAAGTTAAGTAATTATTTGGAAGATTCTTTTATTGGTTCTTAATTTTATTATCTTTTTGAATAGGTAAGATGTTCACATGGTCCAAAATGATATAAAAATGGTATACATTGAGAATTTTCCTTCCCAATCCTACCCTTAACCATTCTAGTCCCCTCAGCCCTCCACACCACTAATAGCCACTTTTATTAGTACTTATCTTTTCCAATATTTATGCAGATGGAATTAAACATGTTTGAATTCTTATTCCTATCTCTCCCTCTCCCCCTTATGCAAAAGATAGCATGCTACAGATATTATTCTGGACCCTGTGCATTTTCTACATATATCCCAGAAATATTTCTGTATCTGTACATTAGGAGATTCCTTTTTTTTACATTTGCAACATATTCCAAGGTAAGAAGGGTCCACAACTTATTTAACCAGTTTCTTAATAACGGTATGTAAGCTATTTCCTATCTTCTGCTACTACAAACTGTAGCAGTTACTGCAATGCTGTAATGAATAACCTTAAATATGAAAAGGAAGATTATTTTAGTCTAGTACAAATAAGACTGGATTAGAACATTAAATAGGGACAGCCTGGCAAGTAGCTGAATCCCTTTGTGGGACTGGGTTGTGAGAGGTTTCAGGAAGAGGGCACTTTAGCCAGTTGAATGTGTAATGAATGACTGGGAAGATCTGTCCAAGGGGAAATTTTTCCATGGATTAGTTTTTCCAAGTGGAATAAACAGAAGGTTTGGTGAGAACAATGACATCAGGTAGGGAGATTCATCTGTACAGTCGCAGGCCCTTAAAGTTAAATAAATGTTTTTAGTGTTTGGAAAATGACATCCAACTTGTCCTTAGGGAGATGAACAAATGATTATTAAAGCCCATTCTTGGTCATCTCCAAAAATTCCAACAACTTTTTTAAGAGGCCAAGATAAAAAAATAAAAAGACTCCCAGCCTGATAAGGCCTTGTTAGTCTAAGCAGATGTGGTACAGCAGACACTGTGGATGGCTGCCCACCCAACATCCATGCCCTTTCATTCTTAGGACAGAGACCTGCCTTTGTCAGGTAGCCCCTTCCACTACAGGGCATCCTATCCAGGAGCAGATCCTGCCCGACCTAAGTCAGCCATGGTAGCTGCATTCCCCAAGAAGATGCTGGGGTGATGTATTTGTATATGGCCCAATTTTGGCCAATGACAGTGGAAAACAAGTCACCTGGAGGGATAGGGTCACCTTTTGGGAGAGCAGTTAGGGTCATGGTCCTCTTTCTTTTATAAATGTGCCAAAAGGCAGTATCTCAAATGTCTGTCTGGTTCTCCAGATCTTGCCATGGTGGGGAGAAGAGAATGATTCCTACCCTGGGTCGGCCGCAACCGCTCTACAGGTATCTGGGTCGACAAAGGCTGGATAGAAAGAACAGCGTGCACTGTGCAGGTACTCCTCCCAGCAACGTTCTTTAAGTAATCGTTTAACTTTGATATAATGGAGTTGGGGACAAAGTTTTTCTATTAATCCTTTGTTTACTAGAAAGAAATTACCTTGAGTTAATTTTCACTAATTGAAGCAGAGTCAGTATTGTGAAAACATCAGCCAGTCAGTTCATTTGTCCTGAAGCTGTCCTTCCTTTTCTAGCTCTGTCATGGTTTTTTTGAACCAGACAAGCTCCTCACAGGCACACTAAAGGGCTTACAATACAGGTAACACAAAAGACCATGCTTATCAGCTACACAGCACAATTCATACGATTTGATTTTAGAATCTCTGCTCTACTTTCATTTTAGGGTTACTGCTTGCGGATAGGGCAGAAAAATTCATTAGGGATGTAGGTCTGCTTTAGAAAGGAGCTTTCTTGTTTTGCTTTTTAAATTTCCCCACAAGGTCAGTAAGTTTGGAGGTCGCCAATTTACATTTTGTCAATTTGTTCCAGTGACAAGCATCACTTTATAGATCAGCATGCCACAATAAGTAACATAGTTGCTCATCCCCTAATCTGGGTCTGCATCACAGATTAACATGGTAAGCACTGAGGGACTGAAATACAAAGTGTTGTGAAGCAGAGAGGTAAAAAATACAATACTTTTGTTGTGGCTGGTTAGAAGGTAATTTGTATAGTGGGAGAAAGCATGGGTTTTAAACCAGCTACATAATCGGCAGTGCCCAGCCTATAATGAAAGTGTGGAGCCCCTTGTCACACAATTATTAAAAATCTCAAGGCAACGTCAGTAGAGCATCAGAACAACTGCTGGGTCCCTGTGCAGCTGGCACACACATGAAGCCAGCCCTGCTAAAGGGCTTTGGGTTCAGTCTCACTCCTGCCACCCCAAAGCTCCCTGGCTTTAGGCAAGTCACCCTAAGTTTTGCTTTTTTCATAAATAAAATAACAACAGCTGAACCTGCCTTGAAGAACTGGTATGAGGGTGAAATGAAAAGTACTTTAGACATGACAGGTTCCCTTGCCTCTTACCTAGTCTGTGCTGTGGGTTCAGTTGTTCTCTAGGCATCCAACATTGCCCTTCTACTCTCCTTTCCCATTTCCTTTTATTATCTTTCAAAAGGATATTAGAGTGAACATTATGAAATGACTAATATCTAATTGTTTGTGACCTACAAGTTAGCAATTTTATATCAACCAAGCTAATACAAACTCCTCAGCATGACTCTGAACACTGCCACCCTTAGACCTGGGCAACTGAGACCCTTCCTTTGTGCCTATGTGTTAAGGAATACACACCCCTGTCCCCACCAGACAGTGGCTTCGGGCAAGTGAGCAGCGCTTGGACAGGCAGGAGCTGGGGGCTGAGGGGAGGGGAAGGGAGGGAAGATGGCACGCAGGTGCACCAGGCTCCTCGCAGAGCCACCCAAACCTGGGTGGGAAGAGGAGGGCTGATATGTGGCTCCTGTTTGTGCAGTTGCCCCTGTCCTCCCCTTTGTCCCTCAACATAAGGGGCCAGTCCTGCTTTTGAGGTTCTCTGTATATTCTGCCCAACCTGCTCTTCCAGTTTTCTCGTAGACATGCTTCCCTGAACCTCCTCCCAACTACTTAAAATTTTCCCCAATATTCCAGACATTTTTAAAAACCTCCATGACTTTCTACATGACACTGTCTCAAAACTTTCTCTCTTTTCTCCACCTGGGAGAAAAGGGATTCTACTCGTTATTTAAGAACCAGTTTATATATTAACTCCTGTGTTAGTCATCCCAGGTGTCCTACCATTCCAACACTCACCCCTAGTTGTGTGTGTGTGTGTGTGTGCGTGTGTGTGTGTGTGTACCCATTGTGATCATAACATCCCTGTGAAAACACATCACACAGTATATAATTGCTTTTTGGCCCCTAGATTAGACTGTGTGGAACTCTTTCAGGGCAGAAAATATGCTTCTCCTTGCTGATTCTCAGATTTTGGCACTCAGTAAGCAGTCAATAAATCTTTCCGTATGGTGTCATCAAAAGCCCAGCTCCCCGGTGATTAAGTGGCCTTGAGCAAATTACCGAATTCCAGTTTCCTCTTCTTGAAATAGAAATGTTCATTTCTATTTCATACTATCTTCTCAATGGCCCTAAGGATTAAATAAAACAAATCCACCGAAAATGCTTCAGCTCAGTGATAAATAGTATAGGCTCAATGACAAATAACCATAATTAGCTCCCATATGCTGATCCTTGGCAATGTGTAAGAAGTACACAGTCCCTTCAAGCCAGCAATGTGGTTCCTTGGAATTCATACTGATACCACAATTGTAATAAACTGAGAAAACAGATTTAAAGTTAGAGGTAAGGTAAGCAACACTTGAAAGCTGTTTATTTGAAAAGGTACCAAGTAATATTTTTCAGGAAATCTAATTCATTAGGTAACTCTTGGAACCAAATGGGTGAGAAGAATACTACATTACTATCTATTTGGGGAGGTATGAATAATGCTTGTGTATTAATTAATAAATGCAGGGAAATCATGATGCAGAAAGTGTATTTTTTATAACTACCTCTTTAAGAACTTTATATAAATACATATATTGACTATAAAGTTTTTACAACTCCATATTTAGGTATTCCTACAAAAATGCTGGAAATATAAACATTCTGTCCAGATTTTAAGAGGAAAAAGTTAATTGCAGAAGTATGCTAATAGAAACAAAACAATCACCATGCTTTGTTATAGGTATCATACCCAGTCTGCTATGACTTGTTACCCCAAAATGCAGTCCTTTTTTATTAACATAATGTGCATTAAATGAAACTACTGATATTTGCATTCATGCAACTTTAAATCCTGTTTTTATTAAGGAAAAAAATACAAGAAAATTGAATGTGATCTAAAATTGCAGGAAAAATAAAAACTGGTTGACTTCACTTATTTGAATCTTATTGTTCATAGAGAATTACTATAATAATTAAGTTTACCTACTTTGGGAAAGAACTTAATGATCTCAATCTTTGTTTTCCAAGCTAGTACTAATAAAATAAAATTAAAAGGCTGCTGCTGGAAAACAAGTGAAACAAGCAATTGTTTTGCTGGTTGCAAAAATCAAACGGTTTTTTCTGCAAATTATCCTTGCTATAATGATGCTGTTAACTCCTAACCATTTACAGTCTCAACTCCAGGAGACTACAAATCTATCTACCTACAAGGGCTAATTATGTCAAAATTTTTTCACAGTAGCACCTCTCATTGCATGTTTAATATTCACCTAAATCCACTGGAGATGCTAATTTAAAATCTTAGGCTGTATGAAGATATCTGAGGTTGAGAAGAGTAAGGTATGGCAGAAGTAGAGATACTGATAGCAAATTTAGGAAGATTTCAAAGACACAGAAGGAATTCTGGTAAATCTTGTGTATTCCAGGTGATAGGACTGAAAATTAGTGTCAGCCTTACGATAGTAACAAAAATATCATAGTAAAGTAGCTTTGCTTTGAGTTGCCTTTTGTGCTTGAAAGTGTAATAAATGGAGGGAGTACTATGTACTCTCTCCATAATACTAAGTGAATTCTAAACTAGAGGCCCAGGGGAGTGGAAGCTTCCTTATAGGAAGAGATGGCGGAGTTTGGCGTTGAGTTCTCTCTCCTTGCTTAAAAGATCCAGACTGTGCTTTTTGAAGGCTTCAGACTGCAGCCTGAGGTCATCGTAGGCCTTCTGGATCCCATCTACTCTGCGCTGAAGCTCCCGGACTCTCAAGTCACTGTCCACCGCCACTGCCTCTTGCTCAAAGCGCTCCAGCGCGTGCCTCCTGGCCACCTCGGCTGTCTCCAGCTTCTCCTCAAGCTGGCGGATCTCCACTTGCTTGCTCTGGAGCGCCTTGCCCCTCTCCATGGACAGCTGCAGCAGCTCCTCCTTCTCGTGGGTGACTGTCTGGAGCCTGGCCTGCAGCTCCTGATTCAGGCTGCTGTGTGTTCGCTCAGCCTTTGCCCCCTGCTCCACGGCCTGCAAGAGCTGCCGCTTGAGGCTCCGCAGCTGGCTGCGCAGCTGCTCCGTCCCCTTGGCGTGGGCGCAGGCCTGCTGGCTCTGCAGCTCCAGCAGCCCCTGCTCCCGGGCCTGCGCCTGGCGGGCATCCTGAGCACACTGCTCTTTCAGGGTCTCCAGCTCTTTGGCGAGGTCCTCACTCCGGGCAGTGAGTTGCGATACTTTGGCCTCTTGGTCCTTCAGAGCCTGGCTGAAGAGGTTGTCATTCTCCAGCCTCAACTTCTCGTTCTCTTCCCTAAGCTTTATGTTGTGACTCTTGTGTTCATCCTTGAAGCGGATCATCAACTCGTGGTTGGCCGCCAGGGTCATAAAGCGCTCCTCCAGCTTCTGAGCATGCTCGTTCTTGGCTTTCAGCTTCTCAGCCTCCAGCACCCTCTTCTGCTCCAGCTCTGTGTTGAGCAGCTCCAGGATCTGGCAGCGCTCCAGGGCCTCATCTGACCTCCTCTTCAGGATGCAGATGAGCTGGGACTGGTCTTGAATGCGGGAGCAAAGCATCGCCTTCTCGCTCTTCTCAGACAGTCCCTGGAGGTTTGCCAAGGCTTCCTTCAGACCGTCCAGCTCTTTAAACTCCATCTCCTCTTTCTGGTTTCCCAGTTTTTTGTTCTGTGGATCTTCAGAGGGTGGGGTGTCCATCCTGACAGCCTTCTCTTTCGGAGGCATAGGCGCTCTTCGCCACTATCTGCTGACTGCACACTCTTTCCTCCTCAGATTTCAAGAGCCACAGTGTTGCTAGGGTCTCCTGGCACACTCCAGCAGTTGGTTTTTCCAGTAAGGAGCCCTGTGATTGGTGGGAAGGTCTTCAGAATGCTGTGAAGTAACAGCCAGGGGCTCTGGGGCAAGTCCAGAGCCAATCTGGCGAGGTTTTGCTTGCTTTTCTAACCAATCACAGCTCTCAGCTCACAGCCCAGTGTCTGACACATACTGTTCAGAGAAAAGACACCAACCCCACTGGATTTCCAGGCAGCATCAGGGAAAGAAACCTGACTCCACTTAATTTCTAGTAAGAGTAAACAAAGCGAGCTGGTGGTGACATATTCCTCCTCCCTCTTCCCCCTTCAGTTGTCATGAGAATAAATTATTGTCTGTGGAAACAAGGCTGGCTGCTTAAAAATTTGCAGTCTATAAATACAAGGTAGCAGTGGTATTCTGGGAGCCAGAATCTTATATGGCTGTGAGTTTGTACCTGTAGTGGGTAACACAGCTCAGCAAAAGTGCACACCCCAATGATTTTACAATCTTTTGTTTCCCGTAGCATAGTCCCCAGCTAGGAATACATTTTACTAGATATTCAGTACTTCCTGTTTGTTTTTACCCATTAGCAAAATGAGGTTGCAGAAAGAAGCTTAATGAACAATATAGACGTGATAAACATTAAAACTGCAAGAGGATCCGAATGATACTTACCATCATATACCAAAGTCAAATCCAACTGGATTAAATAGTTAAATGTAATGAGTAAAATAAAAATCAAAGCATTAAAATGGAAATTAGATGAAAATAAAGATAACCATGAAAGCTCTGGGTCAGGAAGGACTTTAACTTAAACATTATATAAAAGATGAGTAAAGAAAAGCTTAATTTGGTTTCACTGAACATTTAAAGTTATGTAAAATTTTAAAAACTATGTACCATCTGAGGTCTCTCCACCTTTCCTTCCTCTGGACCTGCCTGACACTTTACTCCATAGTCCACCTCAGCCACTCAAGTTCCCCTTTCTGGTCAGCTCTCTGGCCCTGTCTGTAGATGTTCTCTCTGCCTGGCATGCTTCTTCCTACCTTGTCCCTTGTCACTCTAACAATTTACTCAGTGTTTCATAGTTAGGAATCATCTCCTCTGTGAAGCCCTTCCTGGCCACTTCATGTATAACTGACCACTCATCTCTTTTAGTACATCTGCTGTAGCCTGTTGATACTCCTAAAGGAAGTTGTGAAACCCTTATAGCCTTTACTTATTGTTTACCCACCTGCCTCCCCCTATTACATCCTGAGATCATTGAGGGCAGGGACTGTGTCTGTTTCATCCGTGATGACTAGACTAGTGCCTGGCACATTGGGAAGATTCAGACAAATGTGTGTTGAATGGATGTTGATGGCAAAAATAAAATTAAGAAAAAAATCTGGCACAAAAATGGCAGAAAATAGATTTATATTGTTATAGAGAGCCTGTACAGGTCAATGAAGCATTAACACCTTAAAAGAGAAATGAACAATTAAATTCACCAGTGATGGGACAGAAATGGCCAAGAATTGAACCCCATCAGTTAAAATTAGGCATTATTTCATCTATCAAATTAGACAGTTTACCCTCTTATTTAAAGACTACTCAGGACTGGTAGGAGTAGAATAAAATAGGTACTCTCTTATAGTGTTGGTGAAAGTCAGTTGACAGCATGTATTGAAAACTTCAAAAACTTTTCTGCCATTTGAAATAATGACTGCTGAGGCGATCTTTGTTTAGGAAATAATCTGAAAGAAAAAGTTTTGTTCAGAACTCTTCATTGTGGTATGGGTGTAACAACTAAAATTTGGAAAACAGAATGCCCAAAAAGGAGAAAATGTTAAGAAAACTGTATTTTTTACAATAGATCTTAATACAGTGAAAACAAGCAGAGAGTAAAGAGTTGACTATTCCCATGGTCAGTGATCACCACTTCCGTTGTCAGACTTGACCTGTGAAGTCATGATGGTAAGGAAAACGCCCGAGTGTCATTACAGATGTTGGATGGATTTTTTAAAAGCTTCAGATTTCACTGGGAGCAAAAGAGTTTCAGATTTTCTCTTTGGTCCCAATGATCAGGGTTTAATGTCTCAAATCCTGAAATTCTTTCCTATACAGGGAAAGCAAAGTTAAAGACTAGGAAATTTTCTTAATGAAATTTTTAAAAAAACAACTTAAATTATAGAATAATGGAGTTTTATGAAAGTGGGTTCCCAAAGACTTAAAAATGTTGATTAAACTTATTTATAACTCTTCCCTCATTTCTCCTCTTCACTCTTTCTTAAATTTCAATCTTCATAATCTTCATATACTGAAATGGAACTTGTAAAGTTGAGGCAAGTGTCTGTCGTTTATTACAATAGTCCTCTTCCAAAGACTGGATTAAATAGGGTGGCGTGAGAGGTGAGACAGAGACCTCCTCCTAAAACCCCATGTAATACGAAAATATAATGAATACAAGTAATCCTGAAAGAGCAACAGGAAAGAAGGCTGCACCAGACTGCATATGCCTGGAGAAAAGAGCAGACTTCATGAAAAGGGTTGGGAGCTTAAATGATCTTCAGGCGCTCCATCCCCCTGGCTGGGTATTCAGCTCCAAGTCACCCCATGGTGACACGCAGCCTGCTGTGTCTTCCTCCCCCTAGCCTGCACCTGGCTCAGGCTCGCAAACCGGCAGCCTCTGTCCTGGCATCAGGCCAGCCAGAGGGAAGCCCTGCCCATGGCAGTTACAAACACAAAGCAAAGAGGCTTACACCTGTGTGTTGGCCCACTGGTTCTGGCAGCAGAGACAGGCATAGAAGCCGGGAAGCAGGAAACAGCTCTTTCCTCCCCCCAAGCGCCAACACTGCACCCCTGTGACCCCGACATTGCTCCAGGGGCTGAGCAGCTCCAGAGAGTAGAGCTTCTGGGCACTAGAGTGCGCCACATACAAATATGAAACATCAAAAGAACCTGGTTCAAAAAGCAAAATCTCAACACCAGAGGAAGAACTGAGTGAGACTGAATTCATCAATCTTCCTGAAAGAGATTTCAAAATAAAAATCATAAACATGCTCATGGAGGTACAGAAAAATATTCAAGAACTCAGGAATGAACTTAGGACAGAGATCCAATCATTGAGGAACACAATGGATGGTATTAAAAGCAGATTAGATATGGTGGAGACGACAATAAATGAAATAGAAATTAGGGAAGAGGAATACAAAGAAGCTGAGGCACAGAGAGAAAAAAGGAACTCTAAGAATGAAAGAATACTGAGAGAACTGTGTGACCAATCCAAACAGAACAATATTCATAATTATAGGGGTGCCAGAAGAAGTGAGAGAAAAAGGGATAGAAAGTGTCTTTGAGGAAGTAATTACTGAAAACTTCCCCAATCTGGGGAAGGAGATAGTCTCTCAGGCCATGCAGGTGCACAGATCTCCCAACACAAGGGACCCATGGAGGACAACACCAAGACATATAATAATTAAAATGGCAAAGATCAAGGATAAGGACAAACTATTAAAAGCAGCCAGGGAGAGAAATAAGATCACATACAAAGGGAAGTCCATCAGGCTATTATCAGACTTCTCAGTAGAAACCTTACAGGCCAGAAGGAGTGGCATGATGTATTTAATGCAATGAAGCAGAAGGGCCTTGAACCAAGAATATTCTATCTGGAAAGATTATCATTTAAATTTAAAGGAGGGATTAAACAATTCCCAGATAAGCAAAAGCTGAGAGAATTTAGCTCCCACAAACCATCTCTACAGTATATTTTTGAGGGACTGCTATAGATGGAAGTGTTCCTAAGGTTAAATAGCTGTCACCAGAGGTAACAAAAAGGGATAGACAAAGAGTACAGAATATGATACCTAATATATAAAGAATGGAGGAGGAAGAAAAGGAGGGGGGAAAAAAAAGAACCTTTGGATTGTGTTTGTAACAGCATACTAAGTGAGTTATGTTAGACTCTTAGATAGTAAGGAAGTTACCCTTGGACCTCTGGTAACCATGAATCTGAAGCCTGCAATGGCAATGAGTACATACCTATCGATAATCACCCTAAATGTAAATGGTCTGGAGGCACCAATCAAAAGACATAGAGTCACTAAATGGATAAAAAAATAGGACCCAACTATACAACTATATGCTGCCTACAGGAGACTGACTTCAAACCCAAGGCATACACAGACTAAAAGTGAAGGAATGGGAAAAGATATTTCATGCAACTAAAAGGGAGAAAAAAAACAGGTGTTACAGTACTTGTATCAGACAAAATAGACTTCAAAACAAAGAAAGTTACAAGAGAAAAAGAAGGACATTACATAATGATAAAGGGGTCAATCCAACAAGAGGATATAACCATTATAAATATATATGAACCCAACATAGGAGTACCTACATATGTGAAACAAATACTAATAGAATTAAAAGGGGAAATAGAATACAATGCATTCATCCTAGGAGACTTCAACACTCCACTCACCCCAAAGGACAGATCAACCAGAAAGTAAATAAATAAGGACACAGAGGCAATGAACAACACATTAGAACAGATGGACCTAACAGACATCTACAGAACTCTCCACCCAAAAGCAGCAGGATACACATTCTTTTCAAGTGCACATGGAACATTCTCCAGAATAGACTACATACTAGGCCACAAAAAGGGCCTCAGTAAATTCAAAAAGATTGAAATTTTACCAACCAACTTCTCAGATCATAAGGGTATAAAACTAGAAATAAATTGTACAAAAAAAACCAAAAAGGCTCACAAACACATGGAGGCTTAACAAATGCTCCTAAATAATCAATGGACTAATGACCAAATTAAAACAGAGATCAAGCAATATATGCAGACAAATTAAAACAACAGCACAATGCCCCAACTTCTGTGGGACACAGTGAGGGTAGTTCTAAAAGGAAAGTATATAATAATCCAGGCCTATTTAAAGAAGGAAGAACAA